CCTCGCTCAATCCCAGGGAGATCTAGGGTTTCCCCCGGAGTTTCCCGCGCCGTCGTGGACCCCAGCGCCTCAAACCATACCACAGGCCGACCACCAAAGACAAATCTAGTCAGATATGTCCGTATGGACCCACCTCGCGTAGCAGAACATGCCTCCATGGCGCTTCTGCGGCACCGCTGCCACCACCGCTCGATGTCCCACAGAGTGAGCTATCGTGCTGCCGAGGCCGCGGGAGGGGGGGGGAGGGGGGAGGGCACGGGTCCTCGTCTGTGCGCCTGGCCAACCTGACAACGGGCAACAGTGATAGTGTAATATTTTGTTAGGTAGCCAAATTGAGTGTTTAATGTTTAGCTTTGTGAAAGTAGGCACTTCATCCTACAAGATTTTCAGTACGAATGTACAATCAATGGTTGTTCTTAGGAAATGAATAGAAATGACCGTTTATTAAGTTAATTATAATGAAAACGCGGAGTCTACTTTAACACTAATACTATGAAACAACTTTATTTTTCATAACTAAACCTCGGTATATACAAGATTAGTTTGACCCTTAACTTTAACACCGGGCACTCTGCTCACTAATTCTGTCAAAGCGGATTGGTGTTTCACACAACACTAGGTTTTTTTGTAGAAATGACAACCTATGCAACCCAAGAAGAAGTAATGGGAAAGGTGAGAAAATTATGTATGTGAGGAGAGAGATTGTTAGGTAAGAGCGGTAGCGCATATCGGTACCATGTGATCAAAAACTCAAAAGGTGCTTGACAACCTCTACTTCCCTCTATGAAGGGCTTATCTATTTACTTTTTATACTGAGCCAATTCCTTTTCCTTCTAATCTTGAAAGTAAAATTACATGGTGGAGGAATATCCATGATATTTACACTGTCGATGTGCATAATTATGCTAATTCTTTATTATTGATGTTATCCACCAAATAAATAAGTGAAATCTTCCACTGTGTCCGGTTGAAATATCTTTGTTCTAAAAGATTTGGTCATGAGTGCTAGCTAATTATGCAAAAACTAAAAGATAATTGAGGATGTGATATCTGTTGACATACCAGCTCTTACATAGACCCTTGTAGAAAATAAGAGGAATATGATTGTTTATTGACTGAGAACATGGTGTGTTATGATCAAGAAACTTCTATGGGTTATACTTTTGCATGTAAAGGTGTCATGACCTCCTATAAGAAAATATTGTTTTTTAGAATGTTCAATCATGAAAGCAAATAGTGATGTTTTCAATTCAGTATTATTTATTATCGACTCATCACTTCTTAAACATGTGGTTATGTTTACTAAGCTCGGATTTCGCTAGGGGACAAGTGAGGCCTAAGCTTGGGGAGCTGATACTTCCATTTTACAAGACTATTTCTTATCATAATTTACTATTTATCCATGATGTTTTGCATATTATTACTCAATTCTAATGCATTTCTCCCTTCAATTTGCATGGAATAAAGAGAGAGAAATTCTCGTAGATACTATACAGCTGAAAAACAGGGGAAAACAACAACAGAAGAAAAAGAATTTTGCGGAGCATCAAAAAGGCTGGAAATTTTACAGAATTATTTTCCAAAGAAAAAAGGCGGAGTTTAGAAGAGTGGCTATATGAGATCCACAGGGGCCTCACGCGTCAGGCCCACATGACACCTGGCCTTTCACACACTAGTGGAGAAATCCCTAATAGGAATTTACTAGCAGCGTCCAGACCGAAATAAACGCTCTAGTAACTGCCCAAAATACCAGCAACATGCACTAGATAATGGCACGCTGCTAATAAAAAATTACTAGTAGTGTGCAATCAAATGGACATGCCACTAGTGAGCCGGACCAAGAAATTGCCCTAGCAGAAAATACTAGCGGCGAGTGGGTACACACATGCACACGCTGCTAGCGACCAGAACATTTTTCTCAAAAGAAAAAAAAATGTACATGCTACTGGCAGCATGTGCATATATGCACACGCCGCTAGTGACAATGTTGCTAGCAGCGCCCACAAATATGCTCACGCTTCTAGTAACCAGACCATTCCACTTAAAAAAATTGTACAACTCATGGGGATAAGGATATCGAGGGAGACAACGGTGTGTGGGCCATGGCGGCATGCGGCACGCTGAGAGAAAAAAGCCGAGAAGGACAAGTCGATCAGTTGGTCGGCTGCAACACCTCGCCTGTTGCGCTTAGAGCAAGTACAATACGATGATATAGTCAGGTTATAAGACATTACATATTATATTTTTTGTAGAGTTGAAAGAGAGAGAAAAGAAGCGGACTACTAGTTAACAGCCGGCTGTAGCACGTGCTTCTAGAGTCTATGTAAGAGAATGATGTGACCCATGTATTAATAAAGAAGTATATATTTATATTCAACTATTATACTTGATGGCTATAAGCTTGGTTATAAATGACATGATAACATCATATAGCCAGCAACTGGTTATACTATTAATCATGCTCTTAGATGGTTGCTGTCTGGTCTAAATCGGGTGTGAGGGACGCCCAGACGATCCACACAAGCCCAGTTATCTGCGGGTTGAGTATGAGCGTTTACCACGTAAAATTCTATTTGGCGTGCTCATCGATGTCAAAGGATCTGAGCCGAAGTTATTATTCATCCCGTGCTCCTCGTTCAAGATGTTAAATAAAAATCATGCTAATTTTAAACCGACATGTGACGCGGTTAGCCGTTCTATATGTGATGCCAAGTTTTCTATCGTAATAACAATTGATTCTATGTGGATGTGGTCATCTATGCCAAATAACCCGACCCAAAATAAAAATTTATTCCTCATTCAAGATATTGTAAGAGCACCTTGTTGAATGCTAATTAACTAACTGACATGTGGTTTGTCATTTGATATATAATAATGCTAACGCATCAGTTCGTAAGGCTGGTCGTAATGGTAGTATCATAGCTAGTATCATGCATGTCAACTAGGTAATTTTGATGAGGTGTCATAGCATTAAATGAAGGAAGAGAGGGTGTAGTATCATATTATGATACCGTATCATAATAAATGCTATGTTACTTTGTGTCATGCATGGCAATAAATATAGAGTACTACATAATACTAAAATATCATACTATGCATTAGGGAGGTAGTATCATACACTAGTATCATATGCATGATACTAGTATATGATACTCCCCGTTACAACCGATGATTCTTCGTTTGTTGAGCTCATCGATGTCAGGTGCTCTGACTGAACATTAAAAATTCATGCATGTTCCATGTTTAACATATTATAATGATCACGATGCTCTCCCTACCTACCTCACTGCCTATCATTTCATGGATATCCTTTTTTTCTAATCACAAGTTTTCTAATACAACAAAAGTATCATATATCCTTTTTCTTATGTGAGTACGCATCGGCGTGCGCCTCTACGGAGGGACACCGTGCGTGACACCGTGAAGGATGCCGTGGTCAGGTCTTATGCTAGTGTGATGTTCAACAATGCCAGTGCATGGATCACGGCGATAGGGACAGCCATGGCGGAAGGCGGGTTGTGGACGTGCTCATATTATGTGTCTTGTCAGTCGTACAGAAAGGCAAACAGGCTACATTCTTAAATCAAGTGTGACCATTTAATTGTCAAAAGAATCGTTAAGTAAATGTATCCTACCATATTCGATAGTCGAGGTTGTAGTTGGTAGCGACCAATCATGTGAAAATATTTTATAAACAAAGCACTGAATCAATTTCGAAATTCAATCATTAATGCAAGTAATTAGCTAGACAATAAATTATGTATGCAAAGTAGTTCCATCTAAATAGGATTTATTTTTCTCGCACTGAATCAATTTGGAAACCAAGTTACTAATGCAATTAATTAATTAGTTTGGCAGTTAATTATGCCTACCAAATAGGACGGTGGCGTAGTGTGTCCTGCAGGGCTATGCACGGGCAGCTGCTCCCGACGGCGTGCGGTTCGTCGCCATTGGCTCCATGCCTTCAGGCGCGGCAGCAGTGCAACGACGACCACCTGGAGGCGACGGGTGGAGTGGAACGATACGAGCGTGCAGGACTCACCCTGGTCGTCGTTGAGATCCAGATCGAGCTCGCCTATGTTGTCATCCTCCTCCGACTGCATCCATCCGCCGGCGAGGCCCATCCACCCCCAAGCCTGGTGGGGCGAGCTCCTCCTCCCCGCAGACGGGCCGCTCCCGGTGCTCGCTGGAGATGGGCTTATGGATCCAGGCGAGTGCTGGTTAACGGAGGCTCGATCCGGGCTCCAGGCTCGAATTGTAGCTGAGGACCACAAATACGAGGTGCGGAAGGGGACGTCGGCTCGATTCTTGCCGGATCCAGGTGAGTGCGGGTTAACGGCGGGGGGATTGGGGACGAGAGAAGAACAGGGTGAAATGCTGACAAGTGGACCATATGTCCGGTTCAACTAACGGTGTTGGAAATTTGTGCCAAGTCAGCCTGATTGGCGGTCCGCCGAGGTAAATCCGCCGATATGTGTTATTTGAATAACATTTACGATAGATGCGGTGCTTTCTACAACAAAAATATAAGATAGTGTTCTCTTCAAACCTAACCTTCAAAGGGATGTTTTTGTGCAATTAATTCCTGCAAATGGCATCTCGGATAGGCCTTTTTTTCAGTGGGAGGATGAACAAGAGGGGGCAACCGTTGAATTTCAATCGTTTAATGAAAAATTATCGACATCCGCAATACATTATTTGTGTCATTAGATTCATCAAGAAGAATAATTTTGTATTTTATCTATTTAGCATTTTAGATGTTAATAGTTTATACTGAAAATTTGGTCAAACATATGCACGCATGTTTGACTTTTGTAAAACAAAATTTGCACTAAATTACTAACTCTTCCTGGTTAGATGATAATTAAGTTATGACCATCACACTATAAAAGGTAGAACCGCACACATGCATAACCACTAGGCCACCCGTTAAGAGCCATATCTTTTTGGACTTGCACCTTGCACCTTGCACCTAAGCCAACTAGGTAGAGACTCACATCATGGAGCTCAACTTTGCCTCGTATGTGTCCATTGTTCTCTTGGTCCTCTCCGGCACGTACGTCTACTGCGCGACACGGAGCCGGTCGCCGCTGCGGCTCCCGCCCTCGCCGCCCGGGTGGCCTGTGATCGGCCACCTCCACCTGATGACGGACATGCCCCACCACGCACTCGCAGAGCTGGCCAGGAGCATGCGCGCTCCGCTCCTCCGGCTTCAGCTCGGGAGCATCCCGGCCGTGGTGATCTCCAAGCCCGACCTGGCGCGCGAGGCGCTCACCACCAACGACGCGGCAATGGCGTCCCGGCCACACCTCCTCTCCGGGCAGTTCCTCTCGTTCGGCTGCTCCGACGTGACGTTCGCGCCGGCGGGGGCCTACCACCGGATGGTGCGGAGGGTGGTGGTCTCCGACCTCGTCTCGCCTCGCCGAGTGGCCACCTACGGAAGCTTCCGGGACGAGGAGCTCCGCCGCCTCCTCGCGCACCTCACGGAGAGCGCCTCGACGACGGAGACCTCCGTCAACCTCAGCAAGTGCCTCCTCAACCTGGCCAACGATGTGCTCTGCCGCATCGCCTTTGGCCGCCGGTTTCCGCACGGCAAGGACGACAAGCTCGCCGCGGTGCTCGCCGAGTCGCAAGACCTCTATGCCGGATTCGCCATAGGCGACTTCTTCCCGGAGTTGGAGCCTCTCGCGAGCACCCTGACGGGACTCCGCCGCCGGCTGAAGAGCTGCCTGGCCGACCTCCGCGAGGTCTGTGACGAAATCATCGAGGAGCACATCAGCGGCCAACGCCAGCGCATCCCCGGCGACCGAGACGAGGACTTTGTCGACGTCCTCCTCCGCGCCCAGAAGGCGGCCGATCTAAAAGTCCCACTCACCGACGACAACCTCAAATCCATCGTCTTGGTACGCCACTCGCCCACTTTGGCTCTCCAGGACTCCACCCTAGCTGTGCAGAGGCCGGATGTGTACTCATCATGTTTGTATTCTCTTGATGCTTCGTTTTGAGTTAATAAAATCCACCCTTTTTCGAAAAAAAAGGACTCCATGAAGGCCAAAATTTAAAAAAAATCACAAAACAATGTTTTTAGTTAAAAAAACATGAAAAGGATGCACACATAGTTAGAGATGTCTTTGAAATTTCATGACGAAATACTCCCTCCGTCTTGAAATACTTGTCGGAGAGATGGATAAAATTGAATGCATCTATATCTAAAATACGTCTAGATTCATGCATTTCTCCGATAAGTATTTCCGTGAGGTACACAAAAAAATCCATGTAATTTTATAATGAAATTATATGTGCTAGAAATACATGATTTTATTATTTTCTCAACATCAAAATATATTTCATGTGAAACTTTACAAACAGGTAATATGTACTTTTTCAGAATTTTTTGAAACTTGAAAATCAGATTATTATTAATTTTACTTTCTCAAATACGGGCTCAATCATGAAGCCTGAGAGCCAAAAGGAATTTTCAATGTTGAACTTGCTATATAGATAACTCGAGTAGCTCTTGATATCATCTACTAAATATTGATATTTTATCCTTTATTTATACAAAACCCCGTAATACTTTGTGTTTAAATGGTCATGAAAAGCCTACCGTCGGGTTGTGGTTTCACTATGGCAATGTCCACTATGTTGTGGTTTCAGGACATATTCATCGCCGGCACAGACACGACGTTTGCGACGATAGAGTGGACGATGACAGAGTTGATGCGCCACCCACGCATCCTAAGAAAAGCGCAGGACGAGGTCCGGTGGGTCGTGGGTGCCAAGGGTCAGGTGGAAGAGTCGGACCTCGTTGAGCTCCACTACATGCGCGCCATCATCAAGGAGACCTTCCGTTTGCACCCGGTGGTTCCGCTGCTTGTGCCTCGGGAGTCCATTGTCGCATGCACCCTTGGCGGCTATGACATCCCGGGCAAGACCCGCATCTTTATCAACACTTTTGCCATGGGTCGGGACCCGGAGATTTGGGAGGACCCACTAGAGTACTGGCCAGAACGGTTCGAGATCGCCGGCGGTGAGATCGACCTCAAGGACCGGGACTATAAGCTGATGCCGTTTGGCGGTGGTCGGAGAGGGTGCCCAGGCTACACGTTCGCACTACCCACTGTGCAGTTAACGCTGGCCAAACTGATGTATCACTTCGAGTGGGCCCTGCCAGAGGGCGTGCGCGCTGAGGACATCAGTGTAGAAGAGAGCTTTGGGTTAGCCACAAAGAAGAAGGAGCCGCTCTTCGTTGCCGTCAGGAAAAGCGACATGTATGAGTTTAAGGGGGAGTAAACATCAGAAATCTTGCTGGGAGCCAAGGTGCAGCCACCCCTGCGCTCAGTGCCGCACATCTTAAACTTCAAGCACCTTATGTAAGGAACTGTGGTGGGAATTATCAAGTGATGCTTAACAAGTTTACATGAGCTAACAAGTATGCATGCTCCTTATATAATACCGATTGTTTTCAAGAAAATGGACAAATCACTATTAGAAAACGGGCCATTTATCCCGGTCCATGAGGCCCATTTGTCCCGGTTGCCGAACCGGGACAAAAGGGTCGGTACTAGAGCCCAATACCTTTCGTCCCGGTTCGCCCAGGAACCGGGACATATGGGGCTCCAAGTGGCCGGTGCGGCTTGCCCAGGCAGGAGGGCCTTTTGTCCCGGTTGGTGCCACCAACCGGGACCAAAACGCTTTCACGCGTCAGCA